ACAGCATCAAGGCCAGTCTCCAAGAGGCCCCTGTCCTGGCCCTGCCGGACGAGACGAAGCCGTTTAGCGTCGTCTGCGATGCCTCCGATTACGCCATCGGATGTGCATTGCTGCAGGCCGACACGGCTGGACAGGAACGAGTCATCTCGTTCCAGTCCCGGCAGCTCAAAGCCGCCGAGCGGAACTACCCTGTCCATGACAAGGAGCTCCTGGCATTGAAATATGCCCTTGTGAAGTTCCGTGTTCACCTTCTGGGCTCTAGGCCCTTTGTGATCTACGCAGACCACGCGTCCTTGAGGACGGCGACTAACTCGCCTCACCTCTCCCATAGGATGGCGAGGTGGCTGTCCTTCTTCGCGGAATACAACTTCCGCGTCGAATACAAGCCGGGCAAGCTCAACGTGCTTGCGGACGCCCTCTCTCGGCGTCCCGACTATGAGTTGGCCCACATCACGCGGGTGACAACGGATCTATATGATCGGATACGCATGGCGTATCGGGACGATGAGGCTGTCGCGCCTATCGTCAAGTTCCTTAAGGCCGGAGCGAGCGCGAAGTCCGACTGGCTCTCGTCGCGACAGCGCTCACGGCTCCACCGATATGAGTTGAAGGAGGGCCTCCTCTGTTATCGGGTGGAGCCCACTGATCCTCCACGGGTAGTCGTACCCAACGACGAGGATCTGAAGTTCGACATCCTCGCGGAGGCGCATGACGCGCCCTCCAGCGGCCACTTGGGCCGCGAGAAGACCTTTCTGTCGGTCTCTCAGTCCTTCTGGTGGACCCACATGTACAAGTGGGTCGCCCGGTACGTCAAGACATGTGAAACATGTCAGCGGGTCAAACCCGCAGTGCACTCTTCGGCTCCACTACAGAGCCTGCCCGTACCGGCTGGTTATTGGAAGTCGATGAGTCTTGACTTCATCTTTGGGCTTCCCGCCGACGGACACGGCAACACCGAAATTTTGGTGTTTGTGTGTCGGCTGAGCAAGATGGTACATCTTGCTCCAGTTCCCGTCACTGTAACGGGCGAACAAACCGCAAGGTTGTTCGTCGATGGCGTGTTCCGCTATCACTGTCTCCCAGAGACGATTGTCTCGGACCGAGACCAACGGTTCACTGCTGCGTTTTGGAAACCGCTGCTCCCTTTACTGGTAACTCGTCTGCAGATGTCCACTGCGGACCATCCGCAGACAGACGGCCAAACAGAGCGCGTCAATCGAGTGCTCGAGGACACTCTGCGCAGTGTGTGCGCGGCAGCACCACGTACGTGGTCGACGCAGCTTCCAGTTGTTGAGTTTGCGCTCAACAACGCGGTGCACGCGTCCACGGGGTTCACGCCGTTCTACTTGAACGGCTTCCGCCACCCCAGAGTGCCTCTCACTCTTCGAGGAGACACTGACTCCTCTATTCTAAGTGGGGGAGAGGCTCGGAAAGCCCTTTCCTCCCAGGTCTCGGATGTGAGACCAGTTTTGCTGCGGAAACAGGTGGAATCCTTTATGGATACCAAGCTGAACATTGTCAGCAGGGTCCGCGATGCCATGGCAGCGGCCCAAGATAAACAAAAGGAGTACTCAGACAAACAAGGAAGAGGAAACTTAAGTATATTTGAGGTTGTGGACTTAGTGTTGCTAGACACGAGGAACCTACCTCTTGACACTGTTAGCTCTGTCGGCAGCAACAAACTGAAGCACCGCTTCATCGGACCTTTTGCAGTCCTGGCCAGACATGGTGCGTCGTACACCATCGACCTTCCAAAGTCAATGACGACGCACCCGACGTTCTATGTCGGACGTCTTAAGCGGTACTTTGACCCGCAGGGGGTTGCTGACTCGCAGTCCCCCCTTGACCCAGCTCCTCGAAGCGAGGGCCAGTCACAGTCGTCGACGAGGGCGTCGGAGCAGGCACCCATACCTCGGTCGGGACGGCAAGGCTGCGGCCAAGACCGTACGCCGGAGGGGCTCCATACGAACGGACCCCGGCGCCATACGCCGAGTACGCTGAGTACGCCGGGCACGCACCATACGCGTACGTCTGGGAGTGTGCCGCACGCGGCTCCGGACGTGGCAACAAAGCCTCGATCCGTCGGATCATTCGAAAGGCCTCATCCAGATCGGACGAAGAGGCCCGGCGATCCACCCGCAGGTGCAGGCTCGCGACCTCTCGCTCCACCAGGTCCAGGCGACCCGCAAGACGAGCGAGCTCGCTCTGATTCTCGGCCTGAGCGGCAGCATTACCGCCAGTTTCAAGGCCAAGTGCAATTTCAAGCACGAGGACACGTTGACGGAGGCGGTCAGCCTCAGGTCCTGCGTCGGACTCGCACTCGGAGCACTCGGACGAGAGTGGCTCTCGGGAGGCGCCGAGTACTCGTACTCGTACGAGGGCACCTCCGCCCCTGCTGACCGGATGAGAAGTCCACTTCCA